CTATTCATAGTAATAATTACTTGGATAACCTCTTATATTAATAAGGGTAAGATTACACCTGTTTTTTTTAAATAAAAAAATATATAAGAATAAGCAAGAGTTATATTTTTATGTATATCTTCAATATCCTTTTGACAACAAGTATAAATGTCAATAGGTCCAATTAAAGCAACTATTCCCAGATTGGACCACCATATTAAAGTACAGTTATACCTCGATTAACGGATGTGTTCCAAGAAATTACTTCGAATGCAAAACTTCGTTTTCAGAGGTGAACATGCTTTAGGCAACAACAAAGAAAAGTTATCCTAATTAAGCAGTGAAGTTAGATTTTAAAACATTAGTGTAAAGTTGATTATTTGTGCTTTTTTTCTCTTTCATTTAACAATTGTGTATAAAAAAATATTGCATTAGTGTTAAATTGTTAAAAATAACAAGTCTTCCTAAATCAGGTCCATTTTCTCTAACAAAATTTAAAACCTCATTTAAGCATCTTTTTAAAACTTTGATTGTTAACATTTTTTTGCAAAAAACTTCTCTAATTTGGTCTACATTTTCTATTAGCTAATATTTTCTTCATAGTCATTTTTGAAACATATTGATTGAGTTACGTTATATTTGATTTCATAAACAAATTTAAGATATTTTTGTATTTTTGTACAAATAATATGACTGTAAATACTCCTATTCCTATTGACAATAATAATACATTAAAAGTGACTTGAGAGATGCTAGAATTTCAAACACCTTTTTATAAGATAAACACTTTCGTAAAACTGTAAATATTTTTGTTGGTTTAACTCACACCAAAGAAGATCTTTAAAGGAATGTCAATTTCTCCGAAATATTTACATTCATCAAATAGAAAGGGCTCTTTACTCCTTATACAATTAATATTAATATCGTTGATAAACTGTATGTTTGAAATTGGGTCGATTCGAAAGGGTTATGCATATAAATGCGCGACTTAAGATGAACGCCCTTAATTAAGAGACGGTCGCCCTTTCTCGCGCGTATCCTGAAATAAACGAAATAAATTATGTATTCCTCTGTCTTCCAGTTGTGTGTTGAATGTGGTCGTTCAGAGATGTATGGCCATAATAATTCGTGAGGTCGAAACCTGCAGGGTTGACGTCACGCGACGCCTGGCGTATCGACGCCTTTCAGTGGCGCCGCCGACGAGGACCTCTGCATTTCGTCACATCGGATTCATTCATGGAACACTCGTATTCATCATTATGCTTGATATTGCAGTATTACTATTTCTATAAATAGGTTCAAACGATCGATGATTCGTTCATTGTTTTTGGGAACACTTACCTTTAGGTGTATTCGTATTATTTGCGGATTTTCGGAGCATCTTTTTTCTTCTGTAATTTATTCCTGATCGTAATAAACGGAGAACCGTTTATTGAGCGAAATTCCTAACTGCTGCTAACTGGAAATTCGATCATTGTAGCGGTATAAGGCAGTATTTCAAGACTGGTTATAATCATCAAAAATCATAAAAGATTCACTCACATCACAATATAATCTAAACTTTATATATCCTCTTTTTAATAAAATCTCTAATATTGTTAATCCAGGTAAAGCAAAAAAAAACAATAATTAATTTCAGTTGAAAATCAAATTAATTAGGTCAAATTAAATTAATGCTTTTGTACAACAAAAAATTGGCTACACACTTTATGATTTGGAATAATTGAAAATCATTCGGGTCAGCGCGTATACAAATTATTCCAATTGAATTAAACAAAATAAGTTGATTATATTAATTAGTAACATTCAGCAAATTAACGTATAATTGTGTTAATTTATGAAAAATTAAACTTCATGCAATTTATGTAAATAACATACCAGAAATTATTTATTTTTTGTAAAAATTAGATTATATTATATAACTATAAAGAAGCGGAAACAGAAACTAGACAATTTTATTATATTTTATAAATTTATATAAAAAAAACAAGTATAAACTTTTCTAGCAGTTTTTTTTAATAAATTCTATAATTCTATAGTTCATTTGTGCCAAATGATTATCGATCTAGACCTTTCTGTCTGGTATAATGTCATTGTATAAATAATATAAATCCGCATATTAGCTAAACCATTTGACTTTCATTTTTTATTTATGCTAAAAGGTTTTATGTATCCATAAGAGAATCTCGATTAAGTCAAGAAGATATTTTTATTATTATATTTTAGTCTGCTATTCAGGCACTTAGCGAATTTCCGGCTTCAATTAACTGAGTTTCTTCCAGATGGTAGCCTTCCTCTACAATTCGAAATTTCAATTGTATTCTCATATTAATAATGTATGGAAATTTTAAAATGACCTATTTCAATTATAATTATATTGCTTTGAATGTATAAATATCATATTAAAAAAGTTTGATTTCTTTTATAAATATTAACTTATTGAACTATTTTCTAAAAAATCACTAAAAACTCACATTTTATTTTTTATTTATGTCGTATAATTTTATTCACAATCTGTTCATCAATCTTTCTCGGTGGATTGTTACCATTATGATGATTTAGATTTTTTTTAATTTGTTGGTTGGCTGTCGTCTTGTAGGTTAACTTCATGCCCTGCGATTCCACCATTCGGCTATTAGTCGCCCTTCACATTTTATAGAACAATTATTTTACTATCTGCATGTTAGAAAGTATCCAGGCTGAATAACTTTGAATCATGAAATGATTTTGAGAGAAAGCTGAAGATACAATTTTTACATTTTTTTTATATTGTTCTAAATACATGAAAAAATAAAGTAATTCAGCAAATAATTGACATTATTTTTCAATGTAAGATGCTTAGGTAGAATGTTACATTGAAAAATAATGTCAATTATTTTAATTAATTTCGATTTGAATCGATATTATATTTTGATCTTTGAATACGTTTTTGTATATTGATTATTATATTTGATATTATAATAAATCTTTTAGACAAATTATTGTGGGGAAACTCAAATAATATATTAAATTAAATGAATTGAGGAAGAAAAGCGAAACTCGTATTTCAGCGCTTCTTCCAAGAAATACACTGAAACCGTAAATCAAGTGCACATACCCCATATTGTGGTTTTCAGGGTTGGAGCATCGTGTGGGAAGTAGAGATTTACTGCCTGTTGCTCAATCGAGATATCTGAGACAGTGTAAACTCTTCTAATTCATTTCCTTTTGCCAGCTTTCATCAAAATTATTAACGTATTATATATTGTATTTGTTTTCCAACAAATATTGTGGTGCTCACAAATATCCTTTTTTCCAGTTTCTATGAAAATAATCCTCTTATTATATATTGTATATTGTTTTGCACTGTAGTGTCCTCGAATAAATCAAAACTATTTCTTGTAACAAAGGTATAAACGTGAAGTTGCGAAAGTAAAAGAGGGGCACGATCTTTATGCCTTGTGGTGAAGAAAAAGGCAAAGAAAAATCCGCACTTTTGAGGGAGCACAAAGGAATTTCATAATTTATCCTGCGAGTAGAACTCTTGTTAAAATTTCCGGCCCGGTCTAAAAGCATCCTGCTCTGAATACCGCAGCATCTTTTGTGAAGTCTCTTTTACACTCAGCCACCATATTTTATAATCAATAGTCGCAATTAATCAATACATCTTCTATCATTTCCTAAATAAATTATTAATATACTTTATTTATATTTTATGTAGTATTATTTCGATTTCGATTATTCGATTATGTAATTTTATCGTCTTGTGTACATGTTTAATGACATATTAATAAAATTATAAAAAAACATCAAGTTTTATAAGCTTATATTCTAATGACCATGAAATCAATATTTGTAAATGAAAAAATTGAAAAAAATACCCTAAAAGAACAATAACATCCAAGAAATTAGACTATATTAGAAATTTATTGAATGGAGAATCTGACAATTATTTAGTGAGAGATTATGAAAACATTATTAGCAACAAAGACAAAGTGAAATTAAATAACTTTTTACTGAAAAAATGTTAACAACCAAAGATTTAATAAGGTGTTTAATGAATTACTTGCATATTTTCAATAATTAATTGGAAATAATGAGTAGATTAACTTTTGAAGAAAGAATATTTACAAAGACAATATCACAGGGACTTCTACAGCGCAAATCCACCTACGAAACTTACAAAATATGTTTGAAACGAATGGAACTGTTGATGATGTTCATAAACAAGATTCTGGAAGAACAAAAACATCAACGAGCTTCATCAGACAATGAAGAGTAGCGGAAAGTTATTGCGAAACATAAAAAAAGCAGTGTTTTCACATTCCATTGATTTACTCGAAAACTATAATAGATAGAATGAATACAATATATGCATATGAAAGCTGAATGTTTGGGAAATCCAGCAAGTATAGATACATTCCTGTGCTCTTATCCGTATTTCTATAATACGCGTTCAAAGTTAAAAAATTTAAATTAGAACGTTCGAAAAAGCAATGTTTTCACATTTCATTGATTTACTCGAAAACTGATCTATAGGGTTGCATAAACTACTGACCATTCAGTTTATGTAATTATTTGAAAATGTATGTAGAATGATTAATGTATTGTCACGTGAAATTAGGTATCCCGTAGTTCTGAAACTACTGTATTTAGTTAATTACTAAAGGAATGGTTCGAATTACTTATTTCTACAATAAGTTCATTATTTAGCGGAATGAATGGACTAAATGCGAAGTAATTAAGAGGATATGCAATAGGACAAAGACAAAGAAGTGGCATTTAAAGAAATAATAGCTATGAAGTATGCAGTATTCTCATCAGTATTAAACTGAATGCCCTCGAGAATTAAAGTATTGTTAAATTCAAGTGATTTTTTTGTCCCTTTTTTAAAATGTTTCGTTTTTTGTGAAAAAAAGCAATCCATTTCCATAATGAAATTTTTAATTTCCATCCTACCCACGATTCGGAGATTTTCCTCGTGGGCGATTGTGAGTGTGTGTGCAGAACGCGCCCACACCCCAACATCTGTGCATGATGTGGCGCCCCCATAATGTTTCGTCCTTCCTGCACCCGATCTAGTCCTGCCTGTGAAGCTCGAAGGAGGTCGTGTGGCGTGGTCGATAGACGGCCGCAACCGATGTGACTCAGTACCGAGCTGCCAGGACTCTGTGCAGGTGCCGGTGTCAGTGATGTGTGATCTCCTCGACACCTTCTGCTGCTTTCACCTGACGATGTGATTCACCTAAACAACCACAGATCATTTGGATTAAATCGACGCATACACAAGTAGGTGCACTTCATATATTCATTCACAATTTGCATTACACGCCGACTCTCAGTGCTCAATAATAAAAAAAAGATTTGTATCGCGGTTTTGACTAAAAGCTCAACAGATTCTCTCAACCGTCTTCAATGAAACATGTCCGATTATTTAGAATTTTCATGTTTTTTTTTTACCACAAATTTAAATTATTCTGCTTGATATGGTTTTGACACCATATGTCATGAATTTTACAGAAGATATCACCACAGGAAACATACATACAGCATCATTTTTTATAAATAATTCTTATTTCAGCACAAAATATCATATATCTTTTTTTCAGCTATATAAAATGTATATCAAAAATGAGAATATTTGATACTTTCAATATATATTTTTATCATAATTAATTAATCAACACATTTTATATTATCTTTAACACCAACATCAAAATTTCTATTAAATATCTTTATTTTCAATAGAAATTAACGTGAATCACAATATATTATTGTAATACCTTCAAAAAATATTATATATTATTTTATGTACAAATTAACTCAACAATTCAATTATTTATAATTATTTCTTTACTATTGATATTATTAATTTTTTATTTTAGATTTACAAAAGTTTCTACTCTACGTATATGCATTTTTATGAAAATCATAAATTGAAACGTGAAAGATGAATATTATTCAAGAACAAGAATTCGTTTCAAACGTATTTTGTATCCGATTCATTGTAAGTTGCGTAGGTGGAAAAACCCTGCGATAAATTATGTTTCTTTAAAAGTTAATCTTGGTCTACCCATGATTTACAATTAATTACATCCTGAAAATACGCAGATAATGCATTAAATATCTTATTAAATCTTTGGTTGTTATATATAAAATCAATAATATTAATAAAAATGATTTAATATCATTCAATTTCTCCAAATCATTTGGGAAAAATATAATAAGATATTGACTTAAATTTGATTGACGGTAATTAAGTAAATAAATAGAATCGAAAGAAATTATTAGAAAACCTGTTAATACTTCAAATATAAAATAGCATATGAATAAGCCAATGTCAGAGGGTAATATATATGTTTATTAATATTACTAAATGTTATTTATTATATTCCAATATGAAAATAAAATATAATTAATTTTAAAACATACTTAAACAAATTAATATAATTGTAATTTGTCACAGTTTTGGTTTATATTTAGAATAAATCACTAATTTCTATTTCTATTACTGCAATACACTTTTTTCATAGCAAATAATGATAATATATGTAATCAGTAATCTATCCTGTTCACTAATCAGTGTTTAGGTCTATTGATTAGTCACAATTGTAGTGCCTCTTGAGTACTACAAAGCCTTCTATATTATCAGTCACTCGGTAACTAATTAATCCAAATAATACTCTCATTGTCTAATTAAGTATAATATATACAATCAATAATATACAAGAATAATATATACAATTAACAAATAGGATGAATATTACTAAATTACATTGTTAGGCAAAACTTCGTATTCAGAGGTAAAAATAGTATATCGTCAGACTTACAAACTACCTGATGATATTTAAAAAAAAACAGAAAAATGTCTAACATACACTTCATCGATATTTTTCAAACCTATTGATTGAGTCATATGGATAATTTCAGTTCTATTTTTTTTTGTCATTTTATTTTATAATATAACTTTTATCCATATTCTGTATGATTCTCGGGTGTTGGAATATTTTTTTTATGTTAAATGGGTTTTGAAATTGCGGATTTTCTTATATCAAAGCTTAGTTATTAGAGGTAATATTAAACGAAGTGTAAAGTAGAGACTTTGTATTCGACTGATTATTCAATTTATTTGCTCTTTATATCTAAAATCACTACGTTGTCCCGGCGCATCCACATTTAATCAAATTTGAAAATATTACAAAAAAACTTACTATTTTACAGAAATTAATCAACATAAAAGTATTCGTACAATTCAAACTAATGCCGTAATTATGTTCAACACGAAGCAATTTCTCGCACATTATATTCGTAATGTATGTGCGCGAAAGTTTAAAATTAAAGTTACAAGTTTAATTAGGTTTTGCTCGTTTTTTTTTTAATGACCAAAGTTGAAGCGTTTCTAATTTCAACAATATATATATTTTCCAGCAATGAAATGTCACTGCGTAGCTTTCCAACTAATTATTGCACGTTAAACTTTTATATTACATAAGTTCGACACATCATTTTATGTCCTCAGACTTTTGTTCGTAACTTTACAATGGAATTTTACGGTCAAATCATCATCATAAAACTGTATAACATTAGAACAGATTAATTGCAAACTTAGTAGTAATTAAAAAATCCTCATCTTAATTAATTAATTAATTATTTTTTTAATGATTTATTGTAAAAATTGTGATATTTTTAATTAATGAAAAACTTTTTAATTTTCATCTGCATTGTTTGTCGAATTCATCGATGCGCTTTCAAAATGATGAGTTTCTGTTCTCATGAACTGTGAACATACATTGATTTGTAACTGTTGATATTACAACAGAGAAAATCAATAATCCGACGGAAGTTTATTTCATGATTCGGTATTATATTAAAATTGGCAATTTGTTAATTGATGCACACGACCTTTATACTTAACCTAGATTATATAAAATAGAAAATTTGTTTTGCTTCCATATTTAGTTTGCATATATTAATAATGTCACGTACATTTGAAGCAGTAAACAAAGTTAAAAACACTTCTTGACATAAATATTTTACTGCGAGGACGAAAAAAAATATGTTGTAACTTGGAGAGAGATGTGTTGCTGCATTTTATTATCCATGTAATATTTTTGTACGTGCATTAAAAAAAGTAAACGAGAATTTGCTTTTACGTAATCAAAGTTAACTTAATTATATTTACATGCATAAACTTCCAACCACAAAAACTATGCAATTATATGAAATCATATGCAAACAAAATAATTCGACATGGAAAATTGGAATTCATCCGCGATTAAAAGAGTTTAAGAATAGATAAATATAGTTGGAAGCAGCGAGAAAGCCAAACCTAAACGAACCGGAGAAGGGTATGACAGCTCGATAAAAGTAGTATAAAAAGAAACTTTCAGTTCGAGCCACGAATCTCGAAAGTTCGAAACGAGAACTTCTCCGTTAAGATAATTACCGGTCGAATGATTACGCAACGATTTGTACGGATAACGCTGTTTGCTTGAATATAACGTTTCCTCTCGATTTTCCGGTCTTTGCGTCAGCAAAATAATTCGAGGAAATGTGAAGGTTTATCCAAATGGAAGAATGAGAACTTTTCCGCGGATCTTAATTAACATTTATTTCCGGACGCGTATATCTAAATAGCATCAACCGTATTTCTTATTTATAATAATGAATTATAATGATATCGGGTTTCCTTTAACATTACTCGCTCGGCGTCTGTGAAACGCGGTTTGTACCATAACTTAGTCATAGTTTAGTTTGATTTGAATTTTTAAAAATGTATTCAGTTTTCGAAAAAAAAATCTGTTTTCGAACATTTAAATTATATTCGACATCAAAAATTCCACTGAAGGAATATAAAGTAAGAATATAATAGAATCGTATATTCGATTTGAAATGAATGCTTTACAAATAGAATTCAAGTAAAATTGCATTTAAGAAGTTCTAAGTATTTGGTCATTTGTTCCTAGAAACACTTGGAATGTGAAAACTTGCCTGCAGTAATTCTCTTGAGATACAATCTTTTGAGAGTTTTGCATCTCAAAGCGGATGCATCTTATAAATTTATTATTCCCATTGAGTAAAGTTCGGTGCAAAAAGTTTAAACATAGCAAATTTTATGAATGGCATTAGTTTATTATGGTTGTTGTTTCTTCTTTGAATCGATACGTAACAACGAGTTGTAAAGATTCCAACAATCCTTAACACCATGCGAGGGTTGGTATTATCGACCGGTCTGCCAACTGTACCAAAATACTACAAGGATAAAGCGACCCACAGCGACGCGGCGAAAATACTTTTACCGTTTTCATATATATTTAATAATTCCATACGGAACAAACTGTGGACAAGGTGCGAAAACAAAGTTGCTATTTTCGTTCGTCTATCGATTACCTAAATGGAATTGGGTCATTCCGAAATCCGCGTTAAACACAATAACCATCAATTATGAACTAATTGTCTAAACGCCGTTCGTCCGAGCTTAATCTTTTTCGTGCACCTGTACTCTCGATTTCATTGATGGGTAAAATAGCCCTTTACATCGTGCAAACATCGAAATTTAATTAAAGCCCTTTATGGTCTGGATAAAATTAAAAAAAAAAGAAGTTAATCCATAATACACGTTGTATGTAACAGTTTCCAAGTCCCTTTGTTGAAACACGTAATCAATAATACAAACAAATGTATATTCCATTTGTCACACCTCGTTTGAAGCGTATTTAACTTCTGATTCTCATATAACCTTTGGTAGTTTCGAAGTTATGGATAGTTCAAATGTAATATAATTATCTTTAAATTAACCTTAATCTCATATTATAATTACACAGATAATTTTACTACACATTTTTATCAACAAACATTTAAATCTTTCTGATTTTTCTAAATATGAGTTTAACTATGCCCTCAAATAGTGCGGCTTCGATCTGATTCTCTATAGTCCGATTTCAAAACAAACTATTTTTAATTAACAAAATAAAAATAAATTTAAAGAAAGTTCACTAAACGATAGTGTTTGTCCTTTATTTATTCAAATCTCTTTTTCTGCAGTTAGATTTTATTTTAAAGATTAGTCCGGATTCAAACAGTCCGGTGAAGCGATTACTAATCGAAGACTTTCTAAACACATACAAATAAACTGCACAAAGTTTTGCTATATACTATAATAACCATTGAAATAAGTGAGTTTAAAAAACTAAATAACAAAACATTTCCTTCAAGACTGTCAAGATAAGAAAATTAAAAGCTTGGTTAGATGAAACTTTAGTAAAAGAAGCGATAGATTCTTTTACAAA